TTGCGATAAATCAGGGCTTGAGTGAAGTACTGTCCGCCTTCGAAGAAACTTTTTCCCTTTCGGGCCAGCCACATTGCCCCGGGACCCTTCACCCAGCCATCGGCAGAAGCCTCCACCACCGAGGCCACCCACTGCTTCTGCTCTTCGGCCTTCCAGCCATCAGCAATGAAAGCTGCCACCGCCTCTTCCTTGGCGTTGGAGATGGCTACCGCTTTTTGGGCCTCAGCATCCTCGGCTGCTTTCCTGGCGGCCTCGGCAGCGGCTTTCTCTGCCTCAGCCTTCCCCTCGGCCCGAGCTTCCTGCCTTGCCGCCTCCAGCTTCTGCTCAGCCACCCGGAGGGCCTCCTCCAAACATGCCAGCTGCCGTATGGCCTCAGTATTGTTGGCAACGAGCTTCCTCGTCACCTCGTCGGATTTGGCCTTCTCGAGGCGGTGCTGTTCCGCCCTGCGGACAAGTTCCCCGAAAGCCAGACTAGCCTGCAAACATGTAAGGAGGCGCTCAATATAAAACTATTCAAAGGAAAGAAGAGAAAAGAAGGGCCAAGGGTTCAAAAGACCCGAGCACTTACAGTGGCCGAAGCTTGAAGAGCCTTGAGTTCGAGGGCTTCATCCCCGAACCGGCTGAGGGTGGACCGGTCCACCGAAGGGGTGGCATCCCTCAAGAACTCCCTCGGGTCGAGGGTGCCGTGCATGATGGCTGTCCCCTTCTTGATGGGGAAATGTACGGTTTCAAGGGGCCAGGCCCCCTCGACAAGATCCTCCAGGGGAGCGGAGGCCGACGGCTGTTTGGTTGGGGGATCGTCGATAACCACCACGGGAGTATCCTCCTGCCCAGCATCCCCCCTCGGTTTCTTCTTTTCCGGGAGCTTCACGCCTTTCCCGACGTTCTTCCTTTTAAGCTCTCCATGTTGGGAGCTCCCGGCTCCAGAGCCGGCATCACCATCAGGGGCAGATTTCTTCGAGGGGCCCTCCCCCTCCGGTGTCTTAGCAGCCTCGTCCTTCTTGAGGAAGGAGTCCACGGGCTTCTGGGTCGAAGACCCCTCCTTCTTCCTTCTCTCCTCCTTCGCCATTTGCTTGGACAGCTTAGCGAATGCCTTCGGGTCCATTATGCCACCTGCAGAGGACAAGGAAAAATTAGAAAACAAAACAAGTCAAAGGCAGAAATCACTAAGTACCAGAATCAGGAGTCCCTAGAAAGCAACCTCTGGCAGTCTGGGAACCCCGGTCGAAGAGAGGATATCTCTCATCATTCTCCCCCGGCAGGCGGTATCGGTGGAACTCGAGCAGAAGCAGTTCCTCCGGAAGCGTGGCCGCTTTGATAGTCGTCAGCTTTTCTGAACCCGGCGGCTTCTTTGTCAGCTTCCTCCCATTGCTCTCGAGGGATGCATTGCCAACCTTGGGGTGTCTCTTAAAATGGTTGCGAAGGGGCCTCAGGAATGTAACTCCTGACATCCTGAGGTAGCAAAAGCGGTCCTTCCATCCCTTGTGGGACGAAGGCACCTCCGAGAACAGCCTCCAAGCCGGCAATTGCTGAAGGTTGGCAAAACCCTCACTATTAGCGGCGCCCCCCCGGCACAGATTGAAGGATAGGAAGAACTGATCCAGAGTGGGTTCAACTCCTCGGCTTCGGCATTGCGAAAGGAACCCGGTGATGTAGGAGTGACTGTTCGGAGTCAGCTGGCAGGGAGCGAGACCTACGAACCGGAGGTACTCTACCAGAAAAGGATGGAGCGGGAACCGAAGGCCCAACTCCACCGAAAGGATATGCACGGCACAGCAGCCCTCCGGGGGATGTAGCAACACGTCATCAGGGCCTGGCACCACCACCTGTGCCGACGGGCCCACCAGGAGCTGAGTCTTGAGATACTCCGCCTCCACAGCCTTCGTCTTCAAATCTAGCGCGGCTGTGTTGAGATAGGAATGTCCTTCGGGAATTCCCACCGGCTGTCCTGCATCTACCGCAGCCTGTTTCTTCTTCGGGGCAGCCTTCTGCTTTTTTCCCTTCTTCCCCGAAGCTACCCGGAGGGGCACGGCGTCAATTGGCCGGGAGCTACTCGCTTCACCGGCGCCTCGCGAAGGCAGAACAACAACCGTGACTCGTTGCCTCTCCTTCTCTTCTTCCTCCTCTGCGACTTGGAGGGCAAGGGCCATCTCCTCATCTGCCACCACCTGTTCGAATTCCTCCGCCTCCATCTCAGTGCGGAGTTGGCCTTGAACCTCTTCAGCTATCGCGGAGTCGTTTCCCGCCGACGGCTGCTTGCTGGATGACCCCGTAGTTGAATAGCCCTCAGATTGCGCGGGGGCTTCCTCCGAGATGTTTTGGGAGTCGCTTGCCGAAGACATCTTTCCGCAGAATGAGGAGGAGGATTGGAAAATAATACTAGCCGAAGGCACCTAAAAACGCTAAATCTAAGGCCGAAGTAGCAAAGTATGCTAAAGAAACGAAGAACTGAAGAAGAACTGACCTTAGAAATGGGGTTTGATCGAAGCAAAGGCTTTCTCTCTCTAGAAATTTTGGCAAGGCTTCGCTATCGCATAAAAACGCACAAGGGAACTGAGATCCGCCTTGGGGTATATATAGGCTTTCAGCCTCGAGAACTGGGCCTCGATTTGAAAAGGCCATCATTACGGGCCGCCGGTTCGACCAATGGATGGCACCCGCCCACCATCTGCCAACGGACATGCGCCACGTGGAACCCTCTCCCAACGGCTATATTACAACGACTATATTTCGTCGATACTGGGGGTGCCCTCGAATGATAGCCTCCGACTATCACTCACCACAGCCTTCAGCCAATGAATTCCAACATAGCGCCTTCGAGCTGGCAGCAATAAGAGCCTTCGCTTGTCAATGTTGCCACTCCTCGACGCGTATATTGGATGGTAGCCCCCGGCTACCACCTGCGAGAGGCTTCGAGCAGATAATAGTATAAGCTTTCGGATAACCCCTCGGGGAACCCAACAACACATGATAACTCCTTCAGCCCGAACTCGCCTTCGGCCTAAAGGAGTGGGGGACTGGGACACACCCCTCGGGAATCACACCCTTCGGCGGAGACAGAATATCGAAAGTTTCCACAAGTCACTTGCGGAAATGAAGCAGCCCTCATCGCAACACATGCAGGCAATACATCTATGATTTCCCCAGAAAACCCTCGACATGTGAGGGACTGAGGAAAGCCTTCTGCAGTCATACAGGTGTTATACTGCCCTCAGAAAGCCCTCGACATGTGAAGGACTGAGGAAAGCCTTCGGCAGTCACACAGGTGTTATACCTCCCTCAAGAAACCCTCGACATGTGGGGGACTGAGGGAAGCCTTCGGCAATCAGCGGAAGACAAGTTCGCCAGCAAAGGCACCCAACGAAATAATGAAGACTCCAGAAGAATCAACACAACTACTCCTTTTCCCTCAAGTACCTTTCGGCAAAAGGAGTGAGGGACTCCTGATGGAGTATATGGCCCGGGAACCCCCGGCCCATAGACTCCTACTTCTCCTACACAAGTCCATTGAGCCCAGAGAACAACTCAGGCCCAAGTGTAACGGCCCAAACCTCGAAATAGCTCAGAATACACACTGGGATGCCTTCGGCCTCCTTGGCCGAAGGCTCCAGAACTCACAGGATAGCCTTTTTGGCATAAGAAGCTGCTGGGAGAAAACGGGCGAAAACATGAGCCTTCGGCATTTTCATGCCCTCGGCATCAGAAAAGCCTTCGGCTGAACCGAGCCTTCGGTCACACGGGGCCCTCAGCTGCACAAAGCCCTCAGCTGCACAAGGAGCCCTCGGCTACACAAGGAGCCTTCGGCTGAACTAGCTCAATCATCGAAGATTCCTTTTAGAGACAGCCAACCACCGCATTTAATGCCACGTCACATCCGCCAACCGCAATCAATGCGGTGAACGTACCACTGCCGGTGCCAACCGGCTGATGTGACCCTTCGGCCGTTGGATTACTGACACGTGTACTCTCATCGCATTTATTACTGCTATAAATAGCAGCTCATTTCTCCTTGTAAATCATGATCGACATCCCAACTCCACATCTCGAGTTCATTTAATAAATCGACTCTCTCTCCTCCTATTTGCTCTGACTTCTCTCTAAGTTATTCCCGCAATAACCCCTCGGATAAGATACCCCCCGGGTAGACTATCCATCATGTGAATTAAATAATTTTTGTACAACTTTTTTTTACTTAAACTATCCTGAAGATAGGGATAAGTAGCTTATTCATGCCTCCCTCTCCCTGAAAAAATGGTATGTGACAGATTTCCTTAGCCTTTAGCCCAACGCCCCAACCTTTATAGCCAATCCCCAATTATAAAGATTTCATGATAAATTCTACAATCATAGAATAAGACCATAAATAAACCAGTGAGAACCTTATAGCCCTGCTATCAAGACAACTACTTTTTAGCTTAAAGCCTTGAAGATTATATTATGGAGCAGGTTTACTTGAAAACGATTAAAGCTCTACCTTGCAGCTCATTATTATCTCTTAGCTCATGTTTATAATCGTGTTAAAGAGTTTTTATTTCACTTCACTGGATGTATGTATCTCCTGCAAAAACAGAAACAGAAAATGAGAAAGTAGTGCAGGGCTGGGAAAATTTCAGGTTGTGCAGTTTTGATCAAACACCAAGATCGAAGAGCAAACGTTGTCCAATTTAGTTGAAATTTGATCTACTCGTCGGTAACACATTGGACTTTAATATGAACGGTGGAGATCGTATGTTTTGCTCTAGTGTAGCGGGAATTGCCGTCAGTTTGTGACCTTGTTTTCTGGTTACATCTTTTTTGTTCTTTAAATTGTCTTCCTTGTTTTGTGGCAGATTATTTTTATTGTGCTGATATTATTGGAGAATCTGAATGTTGGAGGAACCTTGTTATTGTTTGTGTTGTTCTACTTGTGTGTGTTTCTCATAAAATATTTTGTATATTTGCTTTTGTGTGGCAGTATATCTAACCATCAACAAATTTTATTCTTATTTTTTTCTGAACAGTTTGCATAACTGAAATGGAAGAAAACACTCCTGTGGATGAAAATCAGTTAATATGTGATTCAGGGGATGTTGGGTGGAAGACCGGAGTTCTTGTTGATCCGAATAATCCTAATGTAGTAAGGTGTATACTATGTGAGAAAATTACAAAGGCCGGTATAAATAGGCACAAATTTCACATAGCAGGGATCAAGGGGAGAGGGGTAAAACCATGTCCTAACGCAAGTGATGAGCAGAAAAAATTGTGCTATAAAGCACTTGAAGAAAACAAGTCCCAAAAGTTGGAAAAGATTTTGAGACATGCCAGATTAAGAGATGATGTTATTATGACTGCACATATTAGTGAGGAAGAGGAAACACACGCTTCTGAAGAAGGTAGTAGGAAAAGGCCCTTTTCAGCTTTAGGTCCTTTGGATAAATTTACAAGGCAAATCAACATCACTGATGAATCTACGAGCGCAAGTAAGAAAATGAAACAACAAAATATCAATGATCTAATTGATAAGAAAAGGGTGCTAGAAGTTCATCAATATTTGTGTAGATGGGTGTACGAAGCTGGAATTCCTTTTAATTCCATTAACTGTGACAGTTTCAAAATGTTTGTGGAAGCTCTTGGTCGATATGGCCCGGGATATACACCTCCTTCTCAATACCAATTGAGAGAAACACTTTTGAAAGCTGAGGTAGAAAGGACAAAGGAAATGCTCAAGAAACAAGAAGAAGAGTGGAAAGCTAACGGATGTTCTGTTATGACAGATGCATGGACTGATGGAAGAAAAAGAAGCATAATGAATTTATGTGTGAACTGTAAACTAGGAACCACATTTCTTTCTTCAAAAGATACCAAAGACGATTCTCACACCGGTGAATATATTTTTGAATATGTTGACAGATGTATTCAAGAGATTGGAGAAGAAAATGTGGTTCAGGTTGTAACAGATAATGCTTCGAACAATATGGCCGCCGCAAGTTTTCTGTCACTTAAAAGGCCCAAGATCTTCTGGACTTCATGCGGTACTCACACCATTAACCTCATGCTTGAAGCAATTTCTAAACTTCCTAATTTCAAGGGTGTGATTCAAAGAGCGAAGTCATTCACAGTGTTCATTTATGCTCATCATAAAACACTAGCATTAATGAGGAAGTTCACTCAAAGAGAAATAGTTCGTCCAGGGGTCACCAGATTTGCATCCTCTTTCTTAACTTTACAAAGCTTGCTTGAGAAAAAACAGGAGCTGAAAAGTTTGGTGACTAGTCTTGAATGGGATAATACAAAATTATCCAAGACTGTCAAAGGAAAAGAAGCATACGAAACCATTATTCGTAATCAGTTTTGGGATTCTGTGGAATTGTGTTTAAGAGTTTTTACTCCATTAGTTAAAGTTCTCAGACTTGTGGATGGAGATGATAAGCCATCAATGGGATTCGCATATGGAGAGTTGCTTAGGGCTAAGGAGGACATTAAAGATCTTTTGAAGAAGGAATGCGACTATCTTCCCATTTTATATATCATAGATTCAAGAAGTGAAGATAGACTAGACAGTCCGCTTCATACATCGGGTTATCTTTTAAACCCCTATTATTTCTTCAAGAGTCCGAGTATCAAAGATGATCATTTGATTACAAGTAACTTGATCACGTGTGTTGAGAAGTTTTTCCCAAATGAAGAAATGCAACATCATGAGGTAAATGTTGAGTTGCAAAAGTACACTAAAAAAGAAGGTGCATTTGGAAGGAAACTAGCAGTTAATGGATGCAAGAATAACGATTCAAGTTACAATCCTGGTACACTTTGTGACTTAATATTTGAATATTAGGTTATAAGTATATATATATATATATATATATATATATATATATATATATATATATATATATATATATATATATATATATATATATATATATTATGCATGTTGTGAGTAATCCAGTAGGCTGCTAGTTCTAGTCAAGTATACTGATTTCCACTTATTCATTAACCATGAATTTTCTTCGCATTTTCATTGATCTTCTTTTTTGTCATCACTATATGTATCATCATTATATGCATATTATGTATTCTTCTATTTTTATTTGATTAGTAAGCTGGTGGGATTTCTATGGAAATGAAACACCACATTTGAAATTCATGGCGAAGAGAATCCTTGGTTTGACAACTAGTTCATCAGGTTGTGAGAGAAATTGGAGTACCTTTGAAGGAGTAAGTGTTTTATTACTTTTAATTTGTTATTTAACATTTCCGGTTCTTTTAACATGTATTTGAGAACTTGTAAATTTGAAGAGTGTACCTTTTGAAGGAGTATATTTGCTTCCTAGTATATTCTAAACTAGTCAGCCTCTTTTTGTGAAGATACACACCAAGAAAAGGAACCGTCTTGATGCGACAAGGATGCAAAACCTTGTCTATGTCCAGTTTAATGCAAGGTTGGCAAATAGAAAAAGAAAGAAAGATAAGTTGGAGGCTTTTGATGCTACAAATGCACAAGGTTGGATTGTTGATGGTTGTGATGATGATGATGATGTTACCAACGCTGAAATTTCAGGAGCTTCTACAAATGGTGAGAATGAAATAAGGGAGCCGGATGAAGAAGATTTTGAATCTGATGGAGAGGAGGCTATAATGGATGAAGAAGATTATGAATAGTTGATCCCTACCTTTCTTGTTCTAACATGATAGATCTATTTTTGTTGAAACTGAGATCCAGATCATGTATATATTTATATTTAATGCTAGGAAGGTAGATAGTATTGCATTTTGAGCTTGATGCAGGGGTATGCAGTATGCTCTCAATGGTTTTTGGAGGTGATCAGATTCTATCTTCGGACATCGTAGCTGACTAATTTGGCTGCATTTTGGTCCCAGAGACTGTCCTATACATTGGTGGAACATGTTTCAACTCTCTAGCTACAAACTGGCCTTTGAATTCACTTTTTGCTTCAGGGATTTTGATCTTTTTGTAGTTTTACCCTTTAGCTAGCTGCATAGAGGCAATCACTTTGCCCTTCTGATGTTTGTACAGCAAGTGTATTAGTGTATATATCACTTCTGGTTTCAAGAACTTTATGGTTGGTAAATGAAAATATTATAATGGCTTTACTAATGTCTTTGTGAAAATAAAACTAATAAAATTATTAAAATTAATAAGAAAATATCAGAACGCCTTTTCACGCCTAGTCCCCGTTTAAACTCGCCTAGGCTTCAAAGGCTTAAGGCTCGGCCGTCCCGCCTTGGCACGCCTTACGCCTTTTAGAACATTGGTTACAAGTCTCAATTTTAGCTCAAGTTATGTTTACCGGGCGTTGGTTCGAGTTTTGTGTTGTTTGTAGTCAAAATCAGGGAATTTGAGCCCGGCACCGGCACTTGAGGAACAATCGGGATGATTTGAGAAGCATTTGAGAATGATTTGATAGCTTTGGAGGTCACCGGAAGATTCACGATGAAGATTTGAAGGAAAAAGAGCTCTAGGACTGGCTTCGGGATCAAAAGAAGATGAATGAAGCTTGGAAACGACGATCAGGATGACCTTCTGTCAATCATTCAAGCATATCTCTTTGAATAAACATCCAATGTACACGATTCAAGTTCCATAGGAAAGCCAACTTCAAGGGCTACAAATGATATGAAGACACCTTTGCGAGAATCGGAGAGGAAGAAGGTGAAAACAGACGATGAAGTCAGATGATCTCTGCTGCGATTTCAGAAAGACACCTTCCACCGTGTTGATCATATCTCTTGATTGGATGATTCAAATCACCTTCGGCAAATTGGGGTGGATAGAGGACTTCATTATCTACAACTTTCATGAAGGAAGTTTCGTCAAATTCGGAAGTTAAGTAGGCACGATCGTGCCCTCAAAGTCAGACATGATCGTGCCTGATGAGAAAAGCACCGCGGAGCTACTGTCATCCAGGCACGATCGTGCCTGGAGGGAGGCACGATCGTGCCTGCCCAAAATGCGCGTTTTTGCTCCGGAGGCACGATCGAAGGCACGATCGTGCCTGGCATCGTGTCTGGCTCCGAAAATCCTAATTCAACTCAAATTTCACCCGATTTTTCTATTTAAACAACCTGTAAACCCCCGTTTTGAAGGGAGGAGCTTAGAGAGAGTGCCTAGCACGAATTTTAGAGGGCTTTTCATCCTTGTTCATCAATCTTTTGGGATACTTTGTAAGTTCCACCTTTTTAATTAATGACAATTAATTCTTTTTATTCCAATTCTATTGATTCTTCAATTATGAATTGTGAGTAGTTTTAATTAGGGATTTGGGATTGATGAAGGGGTTAATCATGATGTATGGCTAGATTCTTGTCGGTTTAATTGCATGAATGCCGTTTAACTTGTGTTTGAATAATTTAACTGATATCTTTTGTAACCTAGATGGCCACTAGAATTACAATTGCATGTAGAATAAATTAAGAGAGATCTAATTTGTTCTAGGACACATTCACACACACTTAATCGTTCGCTAAGAGATTATTAGCGATTAAGGGGCCGTAAGCTCGCTCGTCTTGGCAATAATTTAGGATCCTGTCGCATGAGAGATCAACCTGGTCCCCTAAATTATTGTACTCTACGCCGCGAGAGCGGTAAGAACTTAGTAGTGATTAGCTAGGCTCAATTAAATTAATTTCATGTAATTAGGCTTGATCTGCCAGAAATCTGGTTACCCCGGAATCGATCCCTGTTCCCTTCGTCATTAATTAGAAAGAACCCCCTAGGTTAATTGTTCGCATTAGTTTTATTTTCCAAACCAACCAATCTCGCACGACGCTTTTATTTTATTTTCTTTTTAATTGCTGAATTTAGTTAATTCTTAATTCCCTTTTGTCCGTCCCTGTGGAGACGATACTCGTACTTACACCACTATATTACGATCTATTTTGAGTGCGAGAAAACACTCACATCAGAAACCTTGTTAGGTCTTTTACCAAGATATTCTAGACTTCTCAAGGAATGTAGGAGTGGCCGGAAAAGCCGCCGGAGTTTTCGCCGGAAAATTCAAAAGTCGCCGGAGTTCGAACAAAGAAGATAAAAGCTTGCTAGCGTCATTTCAAGGTGAGTGGACGACTACGTGTCTTGTAACTCTTGGTTCAAACGTGAGATTACCTAAATAAAATCATAACCATGATTTGAGGAATGATTAAATGTATTAAAATGCATGATTTGTCATGGTGAACATGATTAATGAAAAATAGATTGATTTATTAATTAATCAAGAGTATATTTCTAAAATGTATAACAAGGTATACTTGGACCATGTATGAGATTAACTAGAGGAATCTAGTAAATAAATATATATAAAAGAAAAGGTACGTGAACTTGTGATTAACCATGTTAAATATGGATTTTTGAAGTATTATGTGACTAATGACAAAAAAAAGATTAATTTATTAATCAATCATGAGTATATATTTCTTAAATGTATAAGGAATTATATTTGGACTACACATGTGATTAACTAGAGTAATCTAGTAAAAGAAATATATAAAAAGATATGTGAACTTGTGATTAGCCATATTAATTATGGATTATGGAAATATGACATGATAAATGATTAATTAGTTATGGCGTGAATAAAAGGTTTCAAGAGAGGATCATGAGCCATGATTTGGACTTAGTCATTATTTACTCAAGAAATTAGAATGGTATTCCATGAAATGTTAAAATACATCTAAGAATGTATTAAGGCAAGATTTACTTATTAATAGTATTAATAAGTACACTTAATATGCTTTAATTTGGACAGAAAATGAATATAAATTATGTGTGATGATTTGGACGTCCAAAATGATATTTTTGGACTAAGAATGACTTGTTACATAAGTGTATAAAATTTCGTGGAAATCGGACTCCGTTTGGATGGTCAAACAGGAGTTGACCGAAGTTTTCCGCCGTTGACCGAGTGTTGACCGGCGCCGGTTAGGATACGTCCGGCGCCGGTTCGGCAGTTTTTAGGGCCGGTTGGAAGCGCCGGTTTAAAACAGGCGGCCTTGGGTCTTTAGGAGCAGCGACGTCCGGCGTCAGTTGGGCAAGTTCCGGCGCCGGTTGCGTGAGTCTTTGCCGGCCAAATAAAGAAAGTCCGGCGCCGGTGGACTGAGGTCCGGTGCCGGACGGAACTGTTATTTTTTTCCAGATATTGGTACTTATGTTCGGCACCGCTTAAGCCGTGTCCGATGCCGGTCGGAGCTACTTAATTCTAAACAATGAATTCGAGTGGGTAGTCGGTGCGAGGCTAGCCCGTGGTTTGATAGCTTGAGTTGGGTGCCAACTTTAAAATTATATTTGACCTATAGTTGACCGAGGGTTATCACGACTAAGGTCGGTAATGTAATTGTTAAGTTTAAATGTCTCGATTAGTAATTCGGGTTCTGGCGGGACCCGACACTAGTTGTATGAGCATGACTTGGACCCGGAGCGGTCCATTCATGGTTTGGGTTAGACGGGAAGCCTTGATAAAGGTTAGCTCTAAGTGGATTTGAGTATGATGATACAAGCTATTTTGCTAAAGAACTTGCACGGCAAGATAAGGTAACAAGGGCAAGTGTAGTCCTTGAGGTGTGTTTAACCTCCAGTAAAGTACACATAAAAAACAAGGGCAAGTGTAGTCCTTGAGGTGTGTTTAACCTCCAGTAAATTACACATAGGTAACAAGGGCAAATGCAGTCCTTGAGGTGTGTTCAACCTCCATCAAATTGCATATAGGTAACAAGGACAAATGCAGTCCTTGAGGTGTGTTAACCTCCATCAAAGTGCATATAGGTAGCAAGGGCCCGTGTAGTCCTTGAGGTGTGTTAACCTCCAGTAAATTACACATAGGATGAGGGTGTATGCGTACTCCTCGAGGCGGGGTTAACCCGGAAATGAAAACTATGATAGCAAGGACGGATAGTCCTCGAGGTAGGTGAACCTCAAAGTAATGATTTTAAATGATTAAACGTGTTTGATCGGGAACGAGTTTCCGATAGAATATTTTCCTTGGTCTAGGAATTGGTTTAAACCATGTCCATGATATGGGAGTCCAAAGGGCCCCACAGTAATTATATTTTGGTATCAAGTGAGTTAGCCTGCGGGTGACTCCACTCGAAGGTAGGACATGGGAAGGGTGAATTTAATGAGGCTGTTACGCCTAAATGATTTGAAAGACAAATGGGCCCACGTGCCAGATATTTTACTCATATGTATATATGTATACATTTTTGTTTTGAAAAGGGGTAGCTAAGAGTTATGCCCATAATTATACTATCACCCTATTTTGAGGGTCTCACGTGAGAAACGTTAGTTACATTACATACAGTTTGCCCTCGCCAGTACTTTTCTGTAGTACTGATCCCTCGGGGGAACCACCCTTTCAGGTTGAAGCTAGAGCTTCCTTCCTGCACCCGTTGCTCGGGAGATCGATGGAGAGAAGACGTGGTTCGTGCTTCCTCTCGTTCTATTTTTAAATAATTAAATAATGCTCATGGAACTATTTTCACTTATAAATTAATGGAGCCTGCGAGCTCTTGTTTTACCCTTGTGTGGGTTCTTACTAAACACTTATATTCCGCTATGTGTTTGATTGTATGTTGATGTTGTTATGTATGTTTACTAATCGGTTTTGGCATATGTATCTTTCGGACGTCTTGTATAATTCGGTAAGGATGAACTGCGGTTATTCTTATTGGGTTGTACGACGGTCGTCCACGTGGCACAGACGCGGTCTAGGGCGTGACATATCTGCCGAGCCTAGAGCCCCAAGAATACCCACAGGAGGTACCCCCTGAAAAATAGTCGGGGGCAGGAACTGCATAACCGTACTGTGGGACACAGCCATGACCAGGCTGATGTGGACCGTAACCCCAGCCACACAGTCCTCTCCTCCGTTGCGGCTGTCCTCCCTACTGAGGATGTGGTCCCGCAGCCTGTGCCTGGCCAGCAAAGGCCTGTGCCTGATGAGGTTTTTCTAGAGTACGCATGCACTAAAGAGTTTGCTCCTTTTCAATCAAGTTGGTGCACAATTTTTCAAATGTGAAGCTCTCAGGAAACAAACCAACCGAGGTAATAAAAAATTATAGTCCCTTCCCAAACCATGTAAAATGCATTGAAACAATTCATGTGTAGAAAGAGGAGCATTTATCGCAACTAAATGATCAGCAATATTGTTAATGTCTTTAAGATAGTGCTCCATGGATTAATTAGAACCTTTCTGAGAATGTGACAGTTGACGTTTCAGTCTCATAAAGCGAACAAGACTAGCAGACATAAAGTGAGATTCCAACAATCCCAAATAGCAGAAGACTTTTTTTAATTCATGCACCTCAATTAACATATCATGAGACAATGTAGCAAACAATCAAGAACAGATAGTTTGATCAAATTTCAACTCTGGGGGAGGATTAATTGTCTCACGTTGATATGCATAGAAAATATAAGGGGAGGAGCAGGGATCGAACCATCTAAAATCCCCAAAAATCATTTGAGACCAAAAAAGTCTCAAATTGTATGCGCCAAGACAAATAATCTTCTACCGCATCTAGTTTAGTAGTAACTATATTGGTAATATTAAGTGCGGAAAAACCAATATTCTTAACTAATTCAACCAAAGAAGAACCTGGATCGGGTAACAGAGTCATGCGAGGACCAATTGGACCGAGGGACGGCATAAGAGCAATCCCTGGAGCACATGCGAAAGCCGGGTCAGCAAAACTGGAAGAGGAGCCCGCTGGTGTAGAACGACCGCCGGAGAACAGATTGGGCGAAAGATGGATCGCAGGAGTCGGCGTCCAGGTAAACATTGGGGGACTCCACCCATCTGCGGCCGAAGGAGAAAACATCGACAGAGAGGAAAGAGACGATGTTTGTTGCTGTGCGGCTGAGGCGACTGAAGAGCGAACCGGTGCAGTGGTGGAGATTATCACTGGCGACGTCGGCCTAGCAGCGGCCGAAGAGCTTCCCGGTGCAAAGGAGTTCGTGACGGTGGATGTAGTTGGCGCAAAAGACATCGCACCCAAAAAATTAGGGATTTTTAGATGATTGAGGCTCTTGATATCGTGTGAGAATTAATAATATCAGACTTAACCTTAATGGTAGGCCTGGAAGATATATATTTATAGAGAAAAGAGTTATAATTACAACAGGAATCCCACAATACTAAATAATAAGAAAACTACTCTATTATGAAGAACGATGACTTGTAATCACCGTAAACAACTCAAAACTACTCATCACTCATGTTGGCCAAACAAAGATTACTCCACGATTTAATGATGAACAAGTGGAGCTACAAGATGTAATGCACGGGCCACGATTTGGTGTCACAACACACAAAAACTGGCAAGTATATGGTGCTCGATCCAGATTATGTTAAAGTATATCAGCATGTACAAGAAAATGAGGAACCAATCATGGAGGGGCGGAGAGTTGAGTCTATCTATATGATGTTTGCACAAATGACATATGTAGATAAGACATGGGAAAATGAGACACTGGACTTGTGACACGCATGTCTTGGACATGTGAGTTACAAGAAAATTAAAGGTGATGATGAAGAAGGAAATGCTAAAGGGTCTCCCCTAACTAGAAATTCATGATGATGTGGTCTACTGCAATACAGAAAAGCTCATCAGCTTCCATACAAGGAGTCAAAATTCAAAGCTTATGCGTCACTAGAGCTAATGCATTCAAACATATTCAGAAAGGTAAAGCAACTTGTTTGAGGCTTCAAGTATATGATTACATTTAATGATGACTTTTTCATATTTGTTTGGTTTGATTTGATAAAAGAAAATGAGATGCTATAAACAAATTCAAAGTATTCAAAGAAAAAGTTGAGGCATAATTAGGTTACAATATCAAAACGGCAGCCCTAGCACGCCACCATTCACCCAAAATCAGAATCATGTCTAGATGAGGAGGTTGCAGCTTAGCTATACTCTTAGCTACAACTAGAAGAGCTATTTGTGCCAACTCCAAAGCACTATCCTCATATTACCAACGTCGGCCATAGAATAGCACTCTTATAGACGAAGAGACAAACGGGTCGACGACTTCTTGTAGGTCGACGCCAGCCCCTTGATCGACTTCCCATGGGTCGATCACCCCCCCCCCCCCTCTTGGTCGACGCGAGTACCTTGTCCGACCTCTCCTTGATTGATTTCCCCGCAGGTCAACAACAAACCCACTAAAGTCTTATAGACATTTCAATAGATTTTAGGTCCCAAAAATATGAGTCTCCAGTTGACTCATAAGTTCTAAAAATGCTACCTCTGTCGAGACATAAGAAAGTGGTGCGTGATATGGTGTCATGTAAGAAAAGTGAGTTCATCTGATATTGTATTTAATATTGAATTGATAAAATAAGAATAAACTACGTAGTAAAAATGATTTAGAACACACTTTCTAATTTGGCATGAGACAATCTTAATCGAACGGATCAAAAAGGAAAGGTGACACAATTTTAGCAGGACGGAAGGAGTAGTTGATAATTAAAATGTAGTTGCACTTCCACAAAATACCTTATACAGCAATTTGTTTTCCAACTTAATCCCAACTCTGGGAATTATAACTCTAATTCCAAATTCCAGCATCAAAACGGATATGGACAATATAGTTAAAATGAGCTCGTAGTTGATTTTTTTTTTTTAATGAGCTCGTAGTTGATTATATCTTGCAACCGATTGAAAATTATATCAAGTACAAGTTTTCACTAGTAGTCAAAATATCTATAGCTTGAAATCATATATGTGCAAGGTTTGACGTCATAGGTTTGGCAAATATTTTTCCTTCATGCGGGAGATAAGCTTAAATTTCTCTTCAGCTTCAACCTGCTGACGAATATCTCCTCTTGAAGCCCGATCGGGGTGGAAGGTCAATAAGGCTTTCTTGTAGGCTGTACGTACCTGAAAAAGCGGTTGTTTTCTTGCTCATTATCTTCCATGTTCGAGTATATATAAATATATCTACATCTACACACACATACACGATCAGAAATAAGGAGAAAGAGCAAGGTTGTTTTTACTTGGACTGTAATTTGCTGGTCTAGTCTGGTCTGATCTGGTCTGGTTTCTTTGTATTTTTATAACTACCCAAGTCTGGTCTGGCCTGATCTGGGACAAATTACAGTCCGAGTAAAAACATCCCAAGTCGGCACAGAAAGAAGCCTTTTCATATGCAATTAAGCATTGCGAAGATTTTCAAAAGTCACCATTCTAATTCCAGCATGTCTCTCTAGCTCATTGGAAACGAACTATCTTAAGCCATTATATTTGTAAGAAGAGATGAAAAGGAAAGTTTGGGGTCCTATAAGTTCGGTTACTTTTTGTAGCATAAGTTGACACTTGATAGGGTCACAAAAAAGATAATAGCAACATCTTTGATTGACAAATAAATAAATGCAAAAGGGGCTTCAAGTAAGAGTAATGCTACAAAGAAACTGCCTGAGACACCACCTTCAGTTTCAACTCCCACGGACAAGAGGATAGTTATTTCTGTGAGAACAGAAGCGAAGTTGGTGTCAAAGGTGATATTTGTTTAGCAATTTCTTAAAACAAAACACTAAATTTGCAGGGTTGGAAACATAGTTAAGACTTCACAAGTGAACTTCTGAGGCAGTTCAAAAACACATTGCCGAAAATTTAGAAAAGGAAGGTAATCCCTACCTCATTTAAAAGTGGGGAAGGGCTGCTACCAACTACAATGCCCAAGCCCTGCAACAGAGACACCATGTCATGGCATGTAGCTTCAATTTTACTAAGTTCTCTTCTAACTTGATTGCGAATCACATCCTTTGTGTTCATATTCTCTTCATCCTGAGATGTAACATGCAGAAACAAAGTTGTGTTCAGTAAAATATAAAGGACATTACCTCTCCCTTGAATGCCATCACAAAGAAAATGCCCACTGGAACTTACTGCTAGGATGGATGGGACATAAGGAGCACAAAAAATGGAAGAATGCAGTATAATTTGTTAGATAGATAACACATTCACAGACTGCTGACCTTCTTCTGTGTCTCTCTCATTTCATCCAAACGCTCTTTTTGCCTTCTCTCCATGTCTAATAAACGCATTCTTTCTGCTTTCTTTCTCTTCACCAACCGTCGCAGTTGTTGCGCTTCTTCAGCCTGAGTTTACAAAACTATTAACAACTAAAAGCTATAAAGTTGAAGATTGAATGTCGTGAAAATAGCATAAATGTATACCAATGAAGCAATCAAGTAGGATAATTCATTGGGGCAATTCAAGTAACATAATTCATTCTCACAACAGTACAACACAACATCCAAGCCTTTGCCCCAAAAGAGTTTGGGTTCGGCTAACCTGAATCGACATATGAAATCAGAGCTAAAAAGATATAAAAAGAGGATAAAAAGATAAGATTAGATAAAAAAGAAAGATACAAAAATATAAGGAAAATGGCAAAAATATTGCTATACACAAAAATATGACTACTTTTCATTCCCCCCAAAATGTGACAAACCTTTATTTAACTAATAAACTTTTCTTTTAATAATAATTCCTACGCAACTACCCACCCCTGCTCCTGCCCCACTACCTTCTTCAGCAACACCGGCGGGTGGAAATTTCCGGCAGAATTTTTTTTCCAGTTTTTTTAATGCCGCGAGAAAAAGGCGCCGGAATTTACCAATTTTTTAATTTTCACGTAAAAGTTTTCGGGAAAATTTTCCAACAATCACGGTGAAATGTTTCCACTGATGGCGGCAATAGAAAAGATGAAATGCACTCAATCCTCCACCCAAATAATCTGCCTCCACTTCACTCCCTTCAAAATCATACTCTCATCCAACCCAAGAAGTAACATAATTCAATCTCAATTTAATAGAATATAATGGCATTGTTTTAAGGGAAAATAATACCACAGTTAGTTCAAATCAGTTGCAGGGTTGCTCAAGTCAGGCTTGGTTGAAGCTGAGCTGATGTTATTATACTCCAATATTCTTGTGTATAAACCCATGCATGCATGCATTGTGAAAAGAATATATATGGATACTTTTCTATCCTCCCAACATACACAAAAAGAACTCGACTATAAAATAGCCTCGAAACAAATCAAGTTAAGATAAACTGCATAAAAAATTAGTCACCAAGTCTTCCGTACTTCAATAAAGAAGCCGAAAAAACTTGGAGGTCGGCTTCACACTACAGTTAAAGGGAAAAGCTAAATGTTGCTCTCTTACATAAACTGACATTTACTAAAAAAAACAATGCAAATGAAAGGTCAAATATACTGAAATACTTATAACTGTCAGGTCATCCCTTGAACTAAAGGAAATTAAATCATGAACCCGGAAACTTCAGATATTATCTGGGCCCTGAAGGATCTAAAATCTAAACGAAACATATATGCAGGAACGGGTGAGATAATGGCATCTGAATTACATTATCAAAGTACAAGAATTTATATACAAAGGTTATCAAGTTCCATGACTAGTGTCCCAACTTCTAATCAAGATTTAGAAAGAAGTACAAATAACACACCTGAATCTGTATTGCCCGTTGCCTTGAAGCCAGTTCTTCCTCGAGCGCCTTTTTGTATTCGTCAGTTTCTTTAAGCCTTTCCTTTTCAGTAATCAACGAAGAACCATTACTCTCAAGAACGGCTTCATCAATTCCTTTGATATGCCCTTTTCCAGTGCCGATTCCTTCACAGCATGATATATTTCTACTAGAGGTTTCACCTGGACTAGGAGTTGATTTGTTGACCAAAAGAATGTGACCATTATTATTATGTTCAAAGCACGACTCATGATTTTCAAATGCAAACCCTCCAGAAAATGGAATCTTCTCCTCAGAGCTACTGCATTCATGAGTTGACTCTTTGGTACACTGAGAGTTGTAATTCGTGGTATAATAGCTGCCACAGTGAGCATCATTACCATCTAAACCACTAGAGGAACATTTATCTTCATCTAAGCAATCTCCTTTACCAACTGAACTGTAATTTATGTGACTGGAGCTTTTGACACCATATGACACAGATTTTGATGCACAAGGATCAGATGATAGGTTATTAACTTTATCTTGAAAATCAATATCCAAATCATCAGCAGAATTATCATGAAATGAGGAAACCCCATAAGGGTTTTGCCTATCTTCATTTCTCAAACTGGAAGAGCTGGAACTGTCATTACAAGCATGCCCTCTATCACGTTGTAATTCAGCTCTTGATGTACTTTCAATCCCATCAACAACAAACTGAGCATTGTGGTTACGATATTTCCTCCTGGAGGAAGCTTTCTCCCATTCTTCCTGAAGCTTTCCAAAAGAATCCACGATCAACTCACTATCAGAATCAGATAAGCTGGTCTCTGAATCAGAGGTCAAGCCATACCTATTCTGAGGGGAGGCACTTCTCCCAGAGTAAGTTCTTCGGCATTTTGATAGCTTCAATGGAGCTTTGCTTTCTCGAACAAACTCACAATCATCTCTATTTTCATCTCGCATCCTCCTCCTGTTGGAGGGTTGAAAGGACCTTTCTTTACTCCAGTTGAAATCGCTGTCTACATCACTATCATCATCAGTTAAACAAATTACTTTTTTATGCAGGTGCCCTTTGGATTCACTTGGAATGATTGTCTGTTGAATATCTTCTTCAGAGTCCTCAGGGTCTTCGATAATAATGACATTGGTAAGGTCATTGCTTTCAATGTCAATCAGGACAACATCATCAGGATCAGCTCTGGGATGATTGGTACACCTCCTCAGCATACTACTCTGGTTAATTTGGTCCCGGAAACAGTTTACTGGTTTACTTTATATGTAGAAAATCTCAAATTGAAACTCCAAATGATCACAGGTAAAATCATGGACACAAATACAAAGACAACAACATAGCGCAATCAGACCCACTTCTGTACACTAACAACAATTGCATACGTTTACATGCATCTAATTATACTTGCCGTCCGGCACATCATAATCAAAACTATGAGAGAAAAGTCAAGAAATTGACACGCAAAATCAAACCTGTGGAGAAATCGCGTAAGGGCGGCGTATAGGACTCTCCAGTTGCATATGGTTGACCGGATACCAGTTCAAATGCCTCGAACAGGGATGGGATGCTTCTAGATACGAACAGGCTCCGGTGGTGTTATTAAATAAAGGTGGGAGTTTGAAATGCAGTTTTAGCAGCTAGGAAGCGCCGGAGTAACGGCAAACGGGTGGTCGGAATCGGCGGAGGTTAATCCAACGTTAACGATGATTGGGCGGCACTTTCTGCAAAAGGAGGGTGGAGAGTAAGCAGGTGAGACGAGGGGGAAGCTCCACGAGGGGGAAGACTCGTGATCGGATTTGTTTGGCAATTCTGTAAAGCAGCGGTTTTCAAATCTTCTACTGTAGGGTTCCTTTGGTTACTGAACTTTTAGTTACCACAATCCCAAACACACCTTAATGGCTTAAGCTATGGGAGTTTTTGAATTTTCAAAGATTGTTTCAAAAAAGGTTACATGGGAGGATGTATGTCACGGTGACTCAATCAGCAAAGTGTCAGTAGGCCCATACACCCTGCACACCAGAGGCCCAGCCTTATTTCAAGTTCTGTGATCTCCATCCGGTCGTTATGGGGATTCGAACCTTGATCATTGTTCCAAATCTCCCACCACTCGAGCAATTGAGCTACCCATGCGGGTTTGAATTTTCAAAGATATTTTGGTCATATCATTATCTATTAAGGAGTTGTTTGGATCTACTTTTTAAACCGCTTCTACTCTTTCATAGAGCAAAAGCAGATATTGGAATGTTGGGATGAAAGTGTAGAATTATTTTTAGTAATACTTTAAATTGCTCCTTAAAATAGTTTTTTAGAAGCTAGAGAACACCAAGGATGTTTTTACTTGGACTGTAATTTGCCCCAGACCAGACCAGACCGACCAGACCAGACCAGTCCAGACCAGACTTGGGTAGTTATAAAAATACAAAGAAACCAGACCAAACCATTTCAAACTAGACCAGACAAGATCAGACCAGACCAGTAAATTACAGTCCAAGTAAAAACATCCTAACTTCTGAAAAACTGATTTCAATTCTGGTTATGCTTTTAGAAAAGAAGAAGCAAAATCAATTCCAAACTGCCGCTAAGTTTCACTCTTGGTCCTCTTCTTTTAAAAGTCTCACTTTTGGGTATTGCTATTATATATTTGGGAGACTCATTCCTCCAGTAATTTAGCCGGCCAAAATCTGTTGGCAAAGTTATTTATTTTCTCCATGTCACATCATAGGTAATTATTTTAAGGGGCACTTTTGTCTTTATACAAATCCTAAGTCTGAGGTATAACCCCCGCGCTCCTGAAAATTGAAACCAACCATTCTTAGAGCATCTCCAGCGGTTAGCTAATTGCCTAAGACTATTTGTAGTGGTCAAGAATCCAAATTGTTAAATTTTGACTCCGTCCATATGAAAACAATGTTTAGACTCCGTCAATAATGTTTCATTGCATTCGTGCACCGTTAATAAAATACACTCCCGCTGAGTTTCACTCTTGGTCCTCTTCTTTTAAAAGTCTCACTTTTGGGTATTGCTATTATATACGAAGTATTTCGGAGACTTATTCCTCCAGTAATTTAGCTGACCAAAATCTGTCGACAAAGTTATTCATTTTCTCCATGTCACATCATAGGTAATTATTTTAAGGGGCACTTTTATCTTTATACAAATCCTAAGTGTGAGGTATAAACCCCGCACTCATGAAAATTGAAACCAACCATTCTTAGAGCATCTCCAGCGGTTAGCTAATTGTCCTAAGACTATTTGTAGTGGTCAAGAGTCCAAATTGTTAAATTTGGACTCCGTCCATATGAAACAATGTTTAGACTCCGTCAATACTGTTTTTCCTTGCATTCGTGCACCGTTAATAAAATACACTCTGCATTTATTTTACATATCAATTTAGTAAAAAATTAATTAAATTATTATAAGTAATGTTTTACTTTTAATTTTTACCCTAAATAATTATGAAATAAAAATACACATTTCGATGTAAAAATAAAGAATTTTCATTAACTTTTTTAACATTTTTTTGTTAACAAAAATGAACTAAGTTTAAGTAAAGTTCGATTATGGAATATTCAGTTATTTGTGAAGGTTTCATGAATTAAAAATTTGTGTTTCATTTTCTTTTTTGCTCAAGAAAACTGCAATAGATAAAACTTCAATTTTGTTTTCGTTTTTTATATCGCATATTGATGTCATATGAAATATCTTCAAAATTCATGAATTTTGATATATTTTTTGAAAAATTTGGAGAACAAATAAAAAAGTTATAAGAGTTTTAAAGTTATATTTGGGGTTATGATGACATCTGTGTGAGGTCATCATGACGTCAGTGAACCATATACATTGCCCTGGAGCGGGCGCCACCACTTTCTTTTCTTTTTCATTTACTTTTTAGCTGTCCAAATTCCTCCAAATTTGACCTCATCTCTTCCCAAACTCATTTTTAATACCCTCTTCAATCAACCAATGCATGAAATTAGGAGTCCAAAAATGCCATTTTAACATTTTGGACTCCTAATACCTCACCACTCCAAATGGTCTAATAGCTTAACTAGCCAAAAAGGCATTTGTACTAAAATTGAAATGTACTTCAATGCTTAGCTATAACTTTTTCATCTTCGTTTATTACGGAGTATTAATAATGTCATATTTAATAATTCTTCTTGCTCAAGCTAGTAGCTTATTTAGGCTAATTAGTTTTGTCAAGCAAAAGAAAAAGCAATGTTCCAATGGTAAGCTATTACCTTTAAAATTGCAAGCGAGTCCTCAAACCAAACCATTGGAGATGCTCTTACACATCTTTTGCTCAAGAAGAATTTAAGAGCATCTGAAGCTAAGCTTTGAAACACAACTCCAATAATAAAAATAGAAATTACTTCAAATAGGACTAAAACTATGATAAAAATTCAAAATAGGACTTGCTATGTTTTTTATTCCAAAATAGGACCATAGTGGTCCTATTGGAAACATACTCATTTCTTCCTTCCATTCTTACCCCTCCTTTAAATATTAGTAAAAGATATCTAAAAGTCATAATTAAATGTTTAATTCATAATAAATTCGAAAAACTTTCAATAATTCATAGAAAAATAATAAAAAAATTAATAAAAATTTTATAAAATAAAAAATAAGAATTTTTTTAAAAAAATTAATAAAAAATAGTAAAACTCCATAAAAAAAATTAAAAAAAATATGGATACCTTTCCCACCGCCTTTACTACCTCCCTGAACCACCACCTCCGATCGGTGTAAAAAATGCCACTTTTTTTTTTAAAAATTCCACAAAATGGCACATTTCTCTATGAGAATGCCAACATTTTCATTCTGCCAACTTGAATCCTTTTGAATTTTGCCAAAAATATGACATTCATAATTTTTTTGGCATTTTTTTACCCCGGTGACAGGAGGTGGTGGTACCACCTCCCTGCACCACCACCTCCGACCGTTAAAAAAAATGCCATATTTCCTACAAACTTCCATTTTTTTCGGAAAATGCCAAAAATATGGCATATTTCTCTTTGACAATGCCAACATTTTTTTCTTCCATCTTAAATCATTCTGAATTATGCCAAAAATATGGAATTCATAATAAATTTGACATTTTTTTCCCCAAATGACTAGAGGTGGTGGTGCTGGGGCGGCAGAGGCGGCGGTGACATTTTTTTTTTTTTTTTGATTTTTTTTTAATTTTTTTTCAATTTTTTTTAAATTTATTATTATTCAAAATATTTTTATTAATTTTTGGTATATTTTACGAATTTTTATTATTTTTTATTATTTTATTATGAATTAAAACATTCCAATAGGTATAAGGGTATATTTGTCCAAGACACACATAATTAGTCCTATGGAAACATAGTTTATTTTTTGGTCCTATTTGTGCAAAGTGAATGACTTGTAGTCCTATTTTGATAATTAACTCTAATAAAAATGGGGGGAAAGGGGCAACTAAGGCCACATACTAACCAAAAAAAGGTCAAATAAGGCCTTATTTATGAGGTTCCGACCGGCCTTCGCCATTAGAGGTGGTTCTCGGTGGAGTTTTTTAATGATTTTTTTTTGACAATCTTATTCATTAAGTCTAGTTTACTCATACCAAATTTCAGCTAACAATTCAATCGGGAAGGCATTCAAATGAATTCTTGAAGATAACTGCGCTTTTAACTGTGCAATTATCTTCAAGAATTCATTTGAATGCCTTCCTGATTGAAGTTTTAGCTGAAATTTGGTATGAGTAAACTAGACTTACTGAATAAGATGCTCAAAAAATTTCGTCAAAAAATTCCACCGGGAACCACCCCAAATGGAGACGGCCGGGCAGAACCTCTTAAATAAGGCATTATTTGACAATTTTTGGTTAGTACGTGGCCTTATTTGACCCTTTTCTCTAAAAATGGCTAACTCTTCTTTTAAGAGATGTGGCTATCATTCAAAGAAGCGGAATGTACTTCAAGAAAACATCCCTAATTTTGTTTGTTCATAATTTGTTTTAAATATACGCGTGCTAGGGCTGCACAAGAATAACTCGAACCCGCATAACCCGCCCGACCCAACCCTACCCGACCCTATTTAATCGGGTATTTGATTTTTAAAAATATTCATGGATTAAATATGTTTGAACCCGCACCTAATGGGTAGGGTTGCTGAATTAAAATCTCAAACCCGATAGTACCTGACCCGGCCGAAATTCATTTTACTATTATTATGCTACAATGTTTTCTTGGATAATTTCAATTTAAGACCAATGTGCTCTATCTAGGACTTTATGATATTAGAATTATAATTAAACATTTATCATTTTGACTAAGTGATTATTATATATTTATGTTTCCTTCTAAATGAACTTCCTTTACGGAAGGATGTTTTAATACTATTACCTAATAATGTTTTTGCTTATAAAACATACGAGTACTTGTATTTGTTTGTGTGTTTTGGAAACAAGTTAATCGATATTTAAATTGGTTACATTAATTTTGCACATGAAAGATGCAAGCCGAAGTGATTTTTTCCCATTACCCGACCCTACCCGACCCGTTCATGCATGGTTTACCAACTTATTTTGCGTATCGCGGGTTGGTTAATAGCCAACCCGAACAAATCAGGTAGGCCCAAAAAATATAGCAAACTCTACTCAACCTGCACTATGTGTAGCCCTAATGCGTGCACTTGTAGAATGAGATTGCAGGCGCAGGCGCCCCTCATCCGAGTGTATCGCGTATTGGACGTCGCAAGCGCTCTTCATCTGCAAATTTTTTTGGCTCTTCATATCCGAGTGTATCGAAATTTCATCGATTCGAAGCAATTTTCGAGGAGACTATGCAGACCTACGATTTAGGCGGCTACGGAAACGTTAAAAAGACTCTTTAGACGGCGTCTTCTGAGTTCTAACTTCCGACCTTGGTGGTGGCTGATTGGCTGGCTTGCAGGCTGCAAGGCGGCAACTTGCTATTGCAGAACAGTAGAAGCTCACTATCTGAGAATTGAGAAGCGAGGGCCGCAGAGGATAGCTAATTAGCTACAGCAAGTTGGCCACTCTTGTTTCACAGAATTACAGTTTCAGGAGTCCGGACCCAAGTGCTTTTACATTAAAAAAATCAGCCCTTTCAGTGAATCAAGTCGGTCTACAAATCTAGAAATCTACAATCACTAGCTCTCCAAAGCTTAGACTTCAGGATCGACGGTTGACAGCATGGGAGACTGGGCTGCACTCCCCGATGATATCCTAGTGATAATTCTACAATTGATTGTTATCGGGAAAGATCATTGCAGCTTTGGGTGCGTTTGTAGATCTTGGAGAAGGGCAGCACTATTGTTTCTCAGCATCTTCGTCCCAAAGGGTGCTCCTTGTCTGATTGTTCCCGACAAAAACACTAGCTGCTCATCAATCCCCGACCAACACAGACGGCTTCTTCTAGCATTTCAGATCGGAAAGGACATTGCTGAAATAGAAGGCTTTTTGCCTCAAATCAGAATTCCCCCCAGAGACATCTGTCTTGGATCTTACCAGGGATGGCTTGTCATGATATCCAAATACGTGAAGATCTACATATGGAATCCTTTTTCGTGCACTTCCATAGACCTGTTAATGTGTAAGTACTACAGATTGAGTGGTCTTCAGCTCTGCATGCTTAGTCTTTATGAAAAGGAGATCAAGTTGGCTGTGCTTGATATGTATATCAGCAAAGCGATCTTGTCAACAGTTCCTACAGCCCCAAATTGCTTTATCTTTATTATTTATGGGTACAAGAACTTTGCTTTTTGCAATGTATCCGACAAAGTCTGGAGATACATGGTTCGGCCTCAGAGTAAGCATGATCCGACAACTACCCCACAATCTTACACGGACGCAATCTATTTCAAGGGACAGTTCTACATTGTCTCAGCAAGCGGGGAAATATTTTCTTGCGACGTTACTGCTTCTCGACCAGGACTGATTAGTGTTTATGGTCCGCCACCAAAGACACTTTCTGCCCATCAATGGTATCTTGTGGAATGCAGGGGGGAACTATATAGAGTCATGCAACAACTCATGCGATGTAGGTTTGCTGCAGGAAAAGATGATGATGCTTGTATTGGTATTGATAACCAAGATCTACATCAGGCTCTTGATGAACATTTTCGTGGAGAGTCATATGGGTGCAACGGATTTGAAGTGCATAAGCTGATGAGTGATACGGTTGGTTGGATACAAGTGCGTAATTTTGAAGGCGATGCAGTTTTTTTGGGTAGGAATCAGTCTTTTTCCCTCTCAAACCCCGGTGATTATGGCTACAAGCCAAACCGGATCTATTTCACCGATCATAGATCTATAAATAATGACATGGGCGTGTTCAACCCGGAGGATGGTACCATGGAGTCGCCACTTTACAAGACAAATTCAAGGTTTATAGTGCCACCTGCTATTTGGATGACACCTAACACATGATAATAGAGCCCATTTGGTAACTTCATTTTCAGTCTTATCAACCAAGTTTTTATGAGAAAATTTCTAGGAGTATGAATAAAAAGATGATTCCTAAGTTATGATTTGGTGGTTTTTATTTCATAGATATAGTTATTTTCCATCAAAAAAAGATGATGATGATGATGATGACGATGATGATGATGATGATGATGATGATGAGCACGGGTGGAGTCAGGGCACTGGGCCAGATTGGGCCGGCACAAAGAATATTTTTGGAAAAAAAATTAAACAGAATTTTTCACACTAAAAATTAAGTCATTTTTAAAATTTGGGGCGGGCCAAGGCCTAGAATGACCACCCCTATCTCCGCCCATGATGATGAGAGTAACTGTAACTATTCTCATTCTAACATAGAGAAATATTCATACGGTGATATGAAGGAAATTAATATGGATAGTATTGAGTTTGAACACAATGTGGACTTAAGTAATAAAAATGTTGGGTTGATGAGAGATGACGAGCAACTAGTTATTGGATGTAATGCAGAAAAAGGTTGGCTTGTCTCAACTTATCTAGTGATGTTCTCAAGAAGATTCATATAGTGATGCTGAAAGTTCAAAAGGCAATGACCTATTTTTAGAGCTAGTACAGAAATGGAAAATCTAACATTTTCTTTAGGTATGACTTTTTCAAGTAAGAAACAATTTAGAGAAGCATTGCATAATTATGCAATTATAAATTGAAATGACTTGAAATTTGTGAAAACATATTCTCTTAGATTTATTGTGAAGTATAAGAAAGATGAATGTCCTTGGACAATAACTCCAAGAAAAGTGAAGAATTCTTTATCATAGAGCCTGGTCTTATAAAATAGGAGGACATTCATTATCTTATAACACATTATCTTCTTTGTTTTGAACCATTTTCTAGATCTTATATGGTATGGATATTATCCATCAAGTGGTAACCACTGTCATCTTTATTTAATGACCATAATTTTATGTGGCTCCTCAACCAGCATATCGATCGTCTTTACTTGATGATCAGGGCGTCTCCAAAGGGCATAACCTCGACGATGCATATAAACCTAGGGATTGCCCTTGGCCTCACATGACACCCGACCTTAGAATGGCTAGTGACACCTTGGTACCTGAGGTACTCATGGAGTCATCTCAGGAGACAATTATCGTGTCATCTCAAACCACTTAAGACCGCCTCCTAGCCAGGTGCTTCGTGTGGCTAAACTAAAGTAGATCTTGTCCGTAAATGGCTTGTCTATGGGGAACGCCTAAGTAGTGGGCTAGTTCCTCGGACCGGTGGTCGTACCGTGCCCCAAGGGCACGTATTCACAATCATCACACCATTTGAAGACCGGTCTCATCCTTCCACCTCATGGATGACGATCGTTGCTTATATATTTAGGACCAGCCTCTTAGCGTCGTGGTCCTCATATTACGCCCGATCCCTCAGCGCCGACATAATCATCTTCAAATAGGCTCCTTGTGCCTTGTCTTCATGTCACTATCGGCTCCTCAGCGTCGATGTCGTGATCTCACGATCGGGATCACCCTTTCTCTTCTGAGACGATGACCGTCGTGTTCATATATAGGACTAGACTCTCAGTGTTGAGGTCCTCATGTTACGTCTGACCCCTCAGCGCCGATATAATTATTTTAGGACTGGCCTCTCAGTGATGAGATTCTCATATTTGATAAGTTCGTATTACAACACACATTTATGCGTGTTGGGATCGGCTTTTGATGGTTTTCATCGCTTTTAGGTGTCACAAGTCTCAATTTTAGCTCAAGTTATGTTTACCAGGCGTTGGTTCGAGTTTTGTTTTGTTTGGAGTCAAAATCAGGAAATTAGAGTCCGGCACCGGCACTTGAGAAGCAATCGAGAAGAGTTGAAGAGCATTCGAGAGAGATTTGAGAGTTTTGGAAGCCACCAGGAGGTTCACAACGAAGTTTTGATGAAGAAAGAGCCTTTGGATCGATCTTGGATGCATTCGGGAACACTCGGAGCAAGAAACGAAGAGAAATGATGAAGAATAAGCCAGGCACGACCGTGCCTAAAGAAGAAACACGCGAGGACCTACTGGAGGCCAGGCATGATCGTGCCTGGCAGGGAGACACGATCGTGCCTGCATACGAGACACGCGATACTCCGGAGGCACGGAGGCCAGGCACAATCGTGCCTAGCATCGTGCCTGCCTCCGGAAATCCCAGTTTGAGCTGAATTTATCTGTTTTCTATAAATAAGGCCTCCATAACCCTATTTTGGGGTTACAAACTTCATAGAGAGGCCTAGGGCCCGGTTTTTGTTGGAAAACAGGCCCGCTTTTGGAGGAGGGGCAAGGGGGCAAATGCCCGGGGCCCATGGTTAGAGTGGGGCCCATAATTTTATAGGTTATAATATATATATAAATGCATAATATTAATATTATTAAGAAGCTGTTCCGTTCACCTGATCTGAATGTTTCTGATCTGAATTTTTTAAGTTCTGATCTGATCTGATCTGAATTTTTCTGATCTGATCTGATCTGATCTGAATTTTTCTGATCTGATCTGATCTGATCTGAATCTTTCTGATCTGATCTGAATCTTTCTGATCTGATCTGAACGTTGCTGAACTGATCTGAATGTTGCTGATCTGATCTGATCTGATCTGAATGTTTCTGATCTGATCTGAATGTTTCTGATCTGATCTGAATCTTTCTGATCTGATTTGAATATTTCTATAATTGTAATTATAATTATAATTATTAGATTTATAATTGTAATTAAAAGTATAACTTAAATAAAATTACAATTATAATCATAATTATAAAAAAATAATAATTAAAATTAAATTTAAAATTATAATAATTATACCAATTACACTAATTATAAATATAGATACAATTATAAATGTAATTATATTTTTAATTATGATTAATTTTATAATTATTTTTTTTGTAATTATAATTATAATATTTATCTCTATAATCATAATTATATCTATAATTACTAATTTAAATATATAATTACTCCGAAGTAATAATAATTACAAAAATAACAACAAGAACAACAATCATATTAATAATAATGATGATTATAATTATAATTACATTGTAAATCATAATTATAATTATAATTATAAATATATTATATTATATTATATTATATTATATTATATTATATTATATTATATTATATTATATTATATTATATTATATTATATTATATTATATTATATTATATTATATTATATTATATTATATTATATTATATTATATTATATTATATTATATTATATTATATTATATTATATTATATTATATTATATTATATTATATTATATTATATTATATTATATTATATTATATTATATTATATTATATTATATTATATTATATTATATTATATTATATTATATTATATTATATTATATTATATTATATTATATTATATTATATTATATTATATTATATTATATTATATTATATTATATTATATTATATTATATTATATTATATTATATTATATTATATTATATTATATTATAATAATATAATAATAATTTTATATTATTAACATTATTATTATATTATTAATTATAATATTATTATATTAATATATTAATATTATTAACAATAACTATAATATAATAATCATAATTAATATAATAATAAAAGTGATAAATCATGTTTGAATTTTTTGATCTGATCTGATCTGAATGTTTCTGATCTGATCTGAATGTTTCTGATCTGGTCTGATCTGGTCTGAATCTTTCTGATCTGATCTGAATGTTGCTGATCTGATCTGAATCTTTCTGATCTGATCTGAATGTTTCTGATCTGATCTGATCTGATCTGAATCTTTCTGATCTGATCTTATTTGATCTGAATCTTTCTGATCTGATCTGATCTGAATAAAATAAGATTAAGGAATAAGTAATAAGATTAAGACGAACGGAACAGCTTCTAAGTTAGTAATATTACTCCAATACTCCGTATAGTAAATCGATAGTGCTATAGTGGGCCATTACCCACTACGGGTTTTTTAATTTGGCCAACAATTAGAAGCAGAGAAGGCAAACCGCTTCACCGCTTGCTGCTTGCATCTCTTCGACTCTTCGGAATTGGGATTTGGGAATTGCGAACTGCTTTCATCTTGCCTAATCTCGATAACATCATAGGTCATCGTTCCGACTTCCACTCAAATGACAACATTTTCTTCTAGTCTATAAAGTTCATTAGATCTAATATAGATTTTTTTCATGCTTTACTTCGGTATCCAATTCTCTCTTTTGATTTATCTTTCAATTTCTTTTCCATTGCCGCCTCAGGCTTGTCTTCGTTGTCGATTAATTCTTCTATTTTTATTACTTCATCCCAAATCTGAAAGACTGAAGGGGCCCTTTAACAATTGGTGAATTGGTCAGTACCAGAGTGGATTTGTGGAGGTGAATAGGTGATTAGGTGATTTACTTAAACTCTAAGTCTCTAAAATTACTCTTAATGTCTTGATTCATCAGTTATTTTAGATATGTTTTCCAATAACCAGATTACAATTACTAGATTCAATGTTAATATTTCTAATTATTTAACAGGAACTTTTTATACTACAGGTTTTTGAATGTGGATTCCTTATTTCAATTGTTGTGTTTCACTGTTTCTATTATAGCTAATAGCTTCATTCTTCATCTAAAAACGCTTGGCGAAATTGTTTTTTGTAATTATTTTTTAATGAACTACTACGTATTTAAGTATCATGCTTTATGTATTGAGCTATTGTTTTTTTGTATTAAACTTTGCTTTTATAATAGAAATTATTTTTCAGCTTTATAATTGAAGGGCCCATTTTTGCAATACGTCCCGGGTCTTCAAAAAGTCAGGACCGGGCCTGTTGTAAAATTAAATGTATTTCAAATAAATTAATTATTTTGTATCGGGTGTTTATTTGACCACACATCTTGGGTCCTGTAACGCGCATATGCGGCTGAACAGTTTACTTTGTTCACATATACTGCAAGTAAAAGATGTACCCATATTGTGGTTATCAAAGATAGGGACTCTAATATTTGGAAAATAATAGGGCCTTGAATTTCATTATCACGCTCAAACCAAGAATATTGATGTTTGACATCATTGGTTGCAAAATGTGATTGAAGAAAAGTTGATGAAACTGAAGAAAGTTCACACAAACAAGAATGGTGCATACATCTTAACTAAGGTAGTTTCAAGAAGAAAGCTTGATGTTTATGGCAAGCTTACGGGGATGAGCTTCAACTGGTAATTGTATAGTGTTCATCTTCCCCGTGTTGGGCTGGAAGGGGTGATTGTATTAGGCCCGACTCATATTTGCAATGTTTATATAAAAACTCTATTTACAGCCTCCAGATGACTTAACACAACCTTTAAATTAAATAATACTCCCTCCGTCCCGCTATGATTGTCCCGTTTTACCTTTTCGGTCCGTCCCCCTAAGATTGTCTCATACCTTATTTGGTAAAGTTTGTGTGGTTCTAAATTATTCCTACTTTATTCTTACTTTATCAATTCAATACCAACCACATAAACCCACTTTTATTAATAATCGTGCCACTTTCTCTTGTCCCAAACTTAGGGGGACGGAGGTAGTAGTAAATAAATATATTTATATATCTAATTTACGCAAGTTATGCAGACTCCACCCACCCCCAAGCTATACGCAGGCAGAGTCAGTGAAAGAACTTTCAATGGGGATGGAGAGTGTTCCACTACAGAGAAGTTTCTGACATCCCTCTAACCTCCTCACCATGATTTGAGTTCATTAATCTCTAATTAGCTAGACTAATTTCTACCATGAGTTTCTTACTCAATGACGTATTGTTCTTCGGTTCTTCCATCAGTTAAATGTATTTCGCATACATGGGTAGATGGATTATGTCCCAAACAAGCTTGGAGCCTTTGTGACTTTGATTCATGTTAGGTCTGATAGTTTTTCCATCGGTTTAATGCATTGAAGCTTGTCCCACACTGTTCATCACCCCCTTCCTCAAGCCACTGTAGCCGGAGCAAAGACTCGTACACCCAACAGGCCCAATTTATTTACTAATGTTTGTCAGTGCATCCACTGTCGTGTTGGTTTGAGCATGGTATGGTTTTTGGTGCACGAATCATTCTCAGATCCTTTCATTTTTCGCTTCCCATGTTTTTTGAGAACATGAGAGGTGGATGGAGGCTGCATAAATTAGAAGGGTAAATTAGATAATACAAGTATTTTTATTTTTTAATATTTAGTTTGGGGATGTGTTTAGTCATTCCGAGCGTGTGAATAGAATTTCCCTGTTTTATACCCCGTGTAGAAGATTTGAATATTTCAAGAACATAGACTCGAAGATCTGAAAACGTTCAGATATATGTATTTTAAAAATTAAACATAAAAAAGATTTATTTTAATTAAATTCTTGAATTAAATTAAATTCTTTTAAGTTGAAATGAAGAATTAGAGGAACATATTTAGATATTGAACCCAATATTTTCATATCATATATTTGATTTTCGATCAATTTAACGTAAACATTTAAAATTTATTTCACAATGACAATAAATATAATAATACACTTCCGTCCCATCAAAACCCGTGGTTGAGCACTGTGTTGTCTCCAAAGAAGCGGCTCTTCCTCAGAAGTGTTCTCAAAAGCATGGTAATACTCAGACTAGAAAGGCTACAAACTTGAACGCCATTGTTTATTTGTTTCTTATTGTGCTTGAAAGTTTTTTGAACTTTATATGTATACAGTAACATTTATGTGAAACAAGAGAAAAAGGACACCTTGAAATGTATTTGAACTCATATAGTCAATACCCAAGATGGTGTGTTAAAGTCTTCCATATCTGAGCAGTCACTTGTTAATTCCCAAATGAATTAGCGTTCTTATAATAGCTTTAGCTATATAGTTTATGACAAATTCAATGCTACTGATATTGTTTGTGAATTTCAATTAATTGCTATTTGAAGAAACAAAATTTCGGTTGATTTTAAGATGAATTGTGTGATGAAATAGCAATTTTTTTATTCCTGATAGCCATAAACTGCACACTAAATCATTTTGTCTTCTTAATATTTCATTTTTTGTTGAATAATGTACTTTTAAACATGGAGTTGTCTAGATTAATGCTTTGAATGGATGTAGTGTTGAGGGTTGTTAGTAAAGCAAATGTTATTGACATTAACCTGATGATCACAAGTATAGTAACTACTGTGGCTATATGTTTTACATTTTCTCATTTGTTTTGCATTCCAAATTTGATTCTAAATGAATCATACACTTTTCTCATCTGCGCAAAAGACTTTTGTTAAATTCTGGCGGATGACTGGATGTCGTATATGAGCACATACAAACATATAAAGAAATCGATAACAAGGGCAAATGGTTTTCAAGTTTCAACTACTTGTTTTCAAACGCAATACATGTTATGGGTCGAGCCCATATTTGCAACATTTTTTTATTGTTTATGTTAGAACCTTTATGTCCTATTTCTTGTGTCCATTTGGTATTGAACTTGTTAGGAAATTTACAAAACCTACCTCGAAAGTACAACAACGGTAGTTTAAAATTTTCTCAAACAGATCTTCCCTGATTATGACAAAATAACGAATATAACAATAATACCAAATCTGAGTTAGAACTTACGGATCTTCCAGCCTGAAGGTGATAATCTCTGACCTTAGGTATCCACGTGATTTCTCATTTCCGAAAGAACGGTTAGATCTCCTAAAGAGGGTTAGATCTCCTAAAGAGAAAAGCTAGGAAATATCTTCGTGGGGAAATAAACTGGTAATACTGAATCCAACAGTCACTTAATTATGAAAGAGGATGATGTATTTATACTAGTTCTACACTAGTTTCCCAATCACAATGAACGTCTTTCTCATTAATGAGTTCTAATCCAATTAGGACAAATCTCATTCATTTAGTCAATAAATAAATATAACAAACTAAGTAATAATAAGGGGGAAGTGGGCTGCACGCCACTTCCCACCCTTATTATATTATTTATATTATTCATTTATTAATTAAATATTAATTAAATGATGTAAATAATAAATAATACGTAGTAATAAAATAACAAGAGAAAAGCTAGGGAGTGGCTTTAGCCGCTACCCTACCTTTACTCCATATATCTTATTATTATTATATTTATTATTATTTTGATTTTTCTTTTAATCTAATTCCAAAATGTATTAAAAGAAAATATCAATTTTGTTTAATTATAAATATCAAGCTCCTCCTCTAGAGCAGATTAATTCATTTGAAGTCTTAAACAATATGGAGGATGGGAGCAATAGTTTGAATCATGATACTGTTGGTACTTCAGTTTCTAATTTTGATGAAGGAAGCTTTAGGCCAACTAGGCCTCCAACTTGGCTGGTTATTATTTCCCGCTGCATTGTCCGGGGGCTTAACCAATCCCTGAGGCAGAAAGAAATATCACGGTTTATGCAGTTGCATAAGGTGTCTATTTTTGGTATTGTTGAGACTAAAGTTAGAATTACTAATATGAAGAATATTAGAGCAAAGTTTGGGGTTCATTGGTAGTTTACAGATAATTATAGTGCAACTTCTAGTGGCAGGGTTTGGGTTGCTTGGGATGCTAGAATTATACAGTTCGAGCCTCTCCAAGTGTCTGATCAATTTGTCCATGGCTGCTGCAAAAACTTGTCAGGAAATTTTAAGTGTTTTATTACTTTCATCTATGGTAGTAATGAACTGGTGGAGAGAAAGGTTCTATGGAATGACTTGAGGGGAATAGGGGAACATTTGGATGATGCTTGGATCATTATTGGGGATTTCAATAGTGTTCTTCACTTAGAAGATAGAATTGGTGGAAATCCAAATTTTGATGCAGAGTGTGTTGATATCAGAGATTTCCTCTGTGATGCAGCTCTGGATGAACTTCCCTATACAACTTGGAAACATACTTGGTCTAATAACTAATAAGCAAGCAGAATCGCTTATCTACTAAAAAATTGACAGCTGTTTTGGCAATCAGTTTTGGCACCAAAAGTTTGGCAATTACTCTGTCAATGTTCTAAATTCAGGAGGATTTGATCATTCTCCTTTGATCCTCCAGCGGCCAGCCAGGAGCTCCAATCCCCCAGAAACATAGACATAGACAGTTTAAGTTCCTTAACTGTATTACCTCCCATCCACATTTCATTGATAAAGTCTCTTTGGGATGGAATATTCAAGTCAATGGGGTCAAAATGTTTAAAGTATGGACCAAACAGAAGGAAGTCAAACATCATATGCAAGATTTAATGAAGCAGTTCTCAAATTCTCAGGAGAAAATTGAGCTGGCTAGATCTAAAGTGGAGAATATGCAAGATATATATGCTTCAACAGAATCCTTTAAATGTTGAAATGTTTAACAGTGTTACTCATGCATAGGAAGAGCTTAATCACTGGCTTGAAGTTGAAGAAAGTATAATGCAGTAGCGCTCCAAAGTACACTGGCTCCAGGTTGGGAATGGAAACACCAGATACTTTTATGCTACATTGAAAAGCAGAAGTTCATCCTATATTTCGGTATGTGCTCTTTAATTCTACAGGTCATAAACTAACTTATGCAAATGAGATTAGGAATGAGATTTTGGGGTTTCATAAGAACCTTCTTGGCCCTCCAGCTTGCACTTCTAGGGCTGTTGATATTGGGGTTGTCCATACTGGACATGTGTTAAATCAATTGCAAAGACAAGCTCTTACCCAACCTGTTACAATCAAGGAGACCAAATCAGGTTTGGACCAAATAGGTTATGAAAAGGCCCCAGGCTATGATGGTTTTAGTGCTGCTTTTTTCAAAAAAATCTTGGAGTGTGATTGGACAGGAAGTCACTGCTGGCTGCTGCAGTCCAGGATTTCTTTACCATTGGAAGGATCCTTAAGAGTATAAACAGTACACTGATTACTTTAATACCTAAAAGTGCTACTGCAAATACTATTAAGGACTATAGACCAATTTTTACAAAGTTGATTTCCAAAGTTATTACAAGTATGCTGAGTCCTGCCATGGATGTATTGGTGAGCTTTGAACAGGATGCTTTTGTCCCCGGTAGGAATATCCATGATAACACTATACTTGCACAAGAAATAATCAGGGGTTATGGACAAAAGAAGATATCTTCTAGATGTATGATGAAACTAGATCTAAGCACTACTACAATTTTCGTCATTTGCTACACCCTATTTGCTGCGGTTATTTATAATGCGCAACAATTAACATGAGAATACTTAAGTATTTGCTTTGGTCACACTGAACCCGCGGCATTTGAGGCAGAAATTTAAACTATTTGATGTGCTGGAAACGTAACCGCAGCAATTGCATCTTAAACAATTAATTTTATTCACTTTTTGTTGTGGGCTCGTAGGAACCACATCAATAAGTAGGAAAATTGCAGACCCAAGCCTCTGCCTCCTCTGTCCCTCCCAGCAGCACACCGACCAGGGGCGGATCTACCTTAGTACCAGTGAGGGCCTAGGCCCAACCTCAAAAATAAAAAATTTACTAATATATATATATATATATATATATATATATATATATATATATATATATATATTATTATGTATATATTGTTGTGGGATAGGGATAATAACAACGAGAATCAATTAAAAACAATGAAGCCGTGTAGCCGAGATGGTTCAGACCTGCGAACTTCCCTCTGCCTGTAGACGTGGGTTCAAATCTTGCGAACAACAATTTTTTTTTGTCTAGAATTTTGGAATTCTAGTCTCTTAAGCCCAAAAAAATTAAATAAATAAATTTTGGAGGGTTATAATGGCTTTATTGCCTTTAATCTTGCGTTTTTTATTTCACTTTGACAAAATTCTTATTCTTGTACTCCGTAATATTTATTTATGTCTTTGACATTTATGTTGCAACAAATATCAATTTATACTTGAAAATAAGTTTTATTAAATATACATGAAGTCAAAATGTCTTTTACTACATTTTGACTCCTTTTTACAATATATGTATTTTATTAAATTTTGGCCCCACCTGAATGCTAATGCTAGATCCACCCCTGACACCGACCACGCCGCCTCACACCGCATCGGTCTAGTAACACCTCTGCCACTCATCCAGCCACATCGCGCCTCCGTCTAACACCGTCTTTGCCCAACAATGTTGCTGCCTAACGGCGCCACCGCCTGCGCTTATAAGCAACGCCGCTGCATCCAATATTTCCTCTCCTCTCACTTCAAGTTAAGTTATTTACTTTTATGTATATTTTTAATGTATATTTGTGGTTTTACAAAGTGATTTGTAGATGTACTTGTGGTCTAGTAACACCTCCGCCACTCATCCAGCCACAAAGTATTTTTAATGTGAACTTGAGTAATGAAAGTTATTTTTCTCAAAATATAATAACGATGCTTATTCACAAAAACATACGTAGTATTAATCATGGGTATATTAATTTATTGTGTTAAACCAACACTCAGCAAAATCCACAATTTTTACATTTTTGTGATTGAATGATCCCAATCATAAGATGTATTTGTTTTTAGGAACATTGAAATTGCACAGTAATTGTTTTCAGGTTATCAATATCGAAAGAACTAAACATCTATAAGCATTTATAGATGGTTATATATAGACGCTGGTGGCCAATCTATAGAATGATGTTGTACAAGTTAAAGTTATTTCATGAGGCATTTTATAAAGATATTGAATGAGATGGTAAGTTGTATGAGCAAAGCTGGTTTTACTCAATAATGCATTTGTGTTGGCAGATAAACATGGTTTGTTTACAAACCCTTCACCAGGAATGATATTGAAAGCATTATTATATCCTTTCTTTGATGACACACTTGATGCATCAAAGTTTGGATGCAGCAGTTGCATTTGTGCCCTCTATTTTCATATTGCATTGGTTAGTTTGTTTTTTATTGAAGTTTGAACAAACATTGAGTTTTTGTGCTTTCTTCCCGATTCATTGATATGATCCGAATTTTACAAAATGCATTGACTTTTCTTATCCTTATTTTTATTGATTATTTCGCTGCTGGAATTTCTTTTGCAGATGGGAGCTTATTTTGGACAGTTTGACATAGGTTTAATTTTACATGTGTCAACCATATGCCAAGGTAAAAAGTATGTAGTCTAAGAGGGAAAACTGAAAAGCAATTGATATTTATTTATATGAAGTAGATTCAGTTTTGGGGCTTCTAGGAAAGATAAAACAAGTTAGGAAAAGATATCATGTACTCAAAAACTTAAAGAAGTGCTTACAGAAACACTTTTATACAAGTAAAAAAGCTGGATTTTTTTTTGAAAGAGTAAAAAAGCTGGTTAAGTCAAATAAGACAATATTGTATAGTATACTCTGTGTCATAGATGTATTAATTTAAGTAAAAGTTCGTAATTCAGAATAGTTAGTAAACCTCGTGATTTCAAAAGCTTTATATGTTTGTGCATGTGTAAACATTATACGAAGTATATATTTTTTTATATTACACATATGGAGTAGAGCAAAGTTCTTTAAAGTTGGGTTCTAAGCGACGATCCTGCCAGGTCCAGTGAGGCATCACACAGATGTGCAACTTTCTCCAAAATACAGCACTGTAACATGCCATCACCCTAGATCTCGCCCAACATGCAGCCACAACAGCGCCTTTAGTGGGTTGACCTGATTAGTTCAGGTTGTTTTGCGTTGCCTATACATCAACGGATGAGATAGTACATGCAGTTGAACTATCATGTGAAGCAAAATGGCAGAGTTCAGATATTTATCGACATGTGAATGGAAATGGTAAAAACGAGAACATTATTATAGGAGTGACATATATTAATAGGAATATGTATATGGCTGGTGTTCCTTATCCTAATATAATACGCACCTCTGGCGAAACTCAATTGAGTAATTTTCTACTATGGTAGAGTTCAAAATGCCTTCTTTACTCTCCAGAATCTCTTTGGCTAGAGATGGGTTTCCGGCATTTAGATTGGGCAATTTTGAATATCCAAAGATATGTTGTCTACCTTAAAGGGGCAAAAGAGAAAAAAAAACATGATTCTGCTGAGGGTAGCTTTATCATTTTGGGGTTATAGTCATCTTTGTGAATTGATCGGCCTTCTTTCTTATTCTTAAAAACTCCTTTGGGCTATCCACTTGAAAAGAAAAGATAAATTGTGGATAAAGTGGGTTAGTTCTTACCAGAAATTTTAAAGAGCACGTCGCGTGCTCCTTATTGAGCACGTAATACGGCTGACGCCTCACCAGGAAAATACTCTGTATTAGTAGGCTTAATATTTGTAAGTTAAAGTATACGTAGTATTAGTAATCATTAGTTGGCAAGCTATAAGCCAATTAGAACTTAAGAGTTTTGAATTTCAATCTTAGAACAAATAATATGAACTTAGACAAGGGTTTTCTAAATCCATGTATGCATCTCAATATAAATTTTTTATCAGTGTTTTCTTTCTGAAATTAATTAATCTGATTAATTCCTAATCTTATACTTCCCTATTTCATAAGACTTGGTTATGATGACAAATGATTTTTTTAGTACCAAAATATTTAAAGTCTGAAAATTATATGGAGCTATTCTTTGTTTTTTTGGCTAATGGAAATTTTTTAAAACAACTTTTATAAAAGTATAAAAATGTTAATTTCCCACAAATATAATAGAGGCTGAAGTTTTCTATCCGGTAAGGTTGCTGACCAAACAAAATCAGACCTAAACAAATTAAACGAGGTCAGATCGGAAATTTTCAATCATATTAAAAACATCCCAAGTCATGTGATTAGGGGTGGACTCGGGCCGGGTGGCCCGGCCCGGAACCGGCCCGACCCGGTTACTGTTTGGCCTGGCCCGGGGCCCGGTGGGTCCACCGGTTCGGTTCGGCCCGGCCCGGCTGCTGGGCGGTCCGGGCTCGGGCCCAGTTTTTGGTGAACCGGCCCGGCCGGTTCGGGCCGGTTTTAATTTTTTTATTTTTTTTTTGAATTTTTTTAAGTTTTGGGTTGGATTAGGTATTTTGGGCCATTTGAGGTGGTTTGGGGTGGTTTGGGGTTGAGGGGGAGGGGTTGGGGGTTAAATAGAAGAGCCAAAAAAAAATTAGAACCGGTTAGGCCCGGCCTGGTTTGGCCCGGAACCGGAACCGCCCACCGGCGGTTCGGGCTCGGGCCCAACTTTCTTGGCCCGAGGCCCGGCCGGGCCCAGGCCCGAACCGGGCCCGAACCGGCCCGAGTCCAGGTCTACATGTGATAAGAATATGAAAATTTTGAGGATGTTTATAAATGGATTGAAAATTTTCAGATCTGATTTGTTTAAGTCTAAAATTTTGTAGTTTGATATGACCTAAACTAGGCAGTATGTTTTTGTTCTATATGTATTTTACAACCATCAATATATGATCCGATCTGATCTGATCTTTTTAAATTTGATCTAATCTCATTTACAACTAGAACCAATCCAATTAAAAATACTCTTACTCTACTAGGGCCTACTATTTTAGCATAAAATTGGGACTGAAAGCAATTATTAGACTAAAATGTAGTTCTTAATTGAAATTTAAGCAATCACAAGAACAATTAATATAATGTTACAACATACGAAAAAGTCTAGAAAAAGATTTCTCGTCTTGATATATGATTAAAATTTCATTCATATACAATTAGGGGCGGAGCCAGGGCTCTAGGTCGGACTAGGCCGGTACAAAAATATTTGTGAAATTTCCACATATTTTTTACACTAAAAATACAGATATTTTTAAAATTTGGGCTGAGCCTGAGCTGGCCCTCCCCTAGCTACGCCCATGCATACAAAAACATGAAATTAGACAAAATACCATTCCTATACAAATATCATATTCAAATTTTCGTAACAATGTGTACTTCCTCAATTATATAAAATTTGGTCAATTTCATTTATCCTGATCAATGATAATAAATTTTGATCAATGATTTTTAATTAGTTTATTTGAAAGCATTTTTTAATTAGTTATTATCATTGTTCCAATAATTGATCTAGGTGCCCGACTAGTCCCGTCTAGATGCCAGACCGCTAGGTGGTGCTGAGCGTCACGATTTTAGTTTAGCCGTCACGAATAATTGATTTGACGCCTAACTAAATTATCAATCTAGCAGGGGCGCTTAGTTGCCCGCCAAAAGGGTCTAATTGACCGTTTATGGTGTCTTCATTTGTGAAACCGTATATTTTATGTTATAACTTTTAAGAGATATATACATTGACTTTAACCACACATATGAGAAAAGTTATTTGTATATTAAGATAAAAATTATAAGCGGGATATGTTTTATATTTGTGGGAAATTAACACTTACATTTTCATAAAAGTTTTTTTAAAATATAATTTCTCTATTTTAATTTAAAAGCCTCTCTTTTTTGTTCAAAAAATAATAATAATTCCATTTGCCAAAAAAAAAAGAATAGCTTCATATAATTTTCATACTTTAAATATTTTGGAACTAAAAAATTCATTTGTCATCATGACCAAGTTTTATGAAATAGGGGAGTATAAGATTAGAAATTATTCAGATTAGTTATTTAATTTCAGAAAGAAAACACTGATAAAAAAATCACATTTAGATGCATACATGGATTTAGAAAAATCTTGTCCAAGTTCATATTATTTGTTTTAAGATAGAAATTTGAAAACTCTTTAGTTCTAAGTGGCGTATAGCTTGCCTACTAATGATTACTAAGAGCCCGTTTGGAGACCTCTGTTTTCGGCTTATCAGGCTTATCAGTCAGCTTTTTCACCAAACACGTAACTTTTACTTTCGTGCGCTGAATTGTGTAATAAGCCGAAAAAGTAAGGTTGGAGTTACTTTTCTGGCTGTATTGGCTGAAGTTACTGTAGATGACCATTTTAGCTATTTTTACATATAATTTTTTCTTTATTTTATTAATAAAATATATTTTTAAAATATTTTTTTCTTAAATCAGTAGAATCAGCCAAAACAGCCACTTCAGCCAAAATATCATAAATTTCAGCAGAATCAGCCAAAACAACCAATTTTGGTCCTACCAAACGGGCTCTAATACTCCGAATACTTTAACTTACAAATATTAACCCTTCTAATGCGGAGTATTTTCCTGGCGAGGCGTCAGCCGTACTACGTGCTCAATAAGGAGCACGTGACGTGCTCTTTAAAATTTCTATAGTTCTTACTACATTAAAGATCAAAATGTGTCGCATGTGGATGTGCCTAATGCCTATCCATGCCTCATTCACGTTCAAGAAAATACTGAAAGTGAGGGAAAAGGTGCCGCTAGTGGGTGATTGGCAGAAGCAACTGAAGGAATAGTTTTTTAGAAGGAGATACATGTACGCCCTGCTTAGATCTTCTGTTGCAAACGTTGATTGGAAGGAAATGGTAATGCAAACTAAGGCTTCGTCTCGTGTTAGATTTACTTTGTGGACTGTGGTTAATCTTGTGTGGTAGAATTGCTACCAAAGATAGACTGTTACATTTCCATATTCCAGTTCATAATGCTTCTTGTGTCTTTTGTGGAGTTCATCTTGAGATAGTGGACCATGTGGTGTTTGAATGCCCTGAAATTCAAAAACTCTGGTCAGGTTTACATAGATGGTTTGGCAGAAAACTCTGGCTCAGTTTATCCCTATACTAGGCACAGATACGAAGGGGAAGAGAATACCTAACAAAATCTTGAAAGCTCCGGTTACTAAAATGCTTTATTCTATATGGCAAGAACAGAACCAAAGAAGTTTGACCGATACACATTTGGAGCTACAGAGTCTTCTCTGACAAGTTGTTCAAAAGGTTGCTTGTAGGTATGCCAAAGTTATGGAGATATCTCGATTCTTTAATAGATTTACGCATTATCGAGTGATTTAATTTTGTGGTAGGTTTTTGGTGTTTTTATGGTATTTTCTCCTGTTTGTTAGGGGTTTTGTTAGGGGTGTGCCTTGTTTTGTATACATGAGACGGTTGTGCTTATTGGCCATTGGAAAGGAATATAACATGCTTATTTTCGTATAATAAATCTAATTTACTTTACTTAATTAATTCTATCAAATATAACTCTCCTTCAACTTCATGGACTAAATACGTTTAATCTAATTAATATTTAATCCATTTTTAGTATTACGAATTAACTATTATATAATCAAATTAATATTTAATTCCTTCGAACAATTCAATCGGAAGGTATAATCACTTGTTGTGTGACCAATAGAGCCTTATATATTAAACACTAATCAAATAAAGGTGTTAGCAGAATCCCTAAACGATTTGCCATTTTACCACACAATCTTAATATATAAGGACATTTGCGAGAACTATTCAAACTTCATATAATATAGAGCTCATAATGATACGATCCTTTCATTCAACGAACATTCAACTAAGTCTAGAACTTGATATTGTGTCTATTCCAATAACTTAGTCGTTGCCTCTCAATCTTTCTAGATTATCCATAACGATCATATTCGATATCCAAAACGAATATATCTTTGCATTGGCTAATGAATTTATGATTCATCTAGATATGAGAAGTAGAATCTTCTCTCTTAATCTATTATGAGGAATGAATTCTTTCTTGGCTCAACTACTACTCCATATGCTTCATGATATGATGTACCCAACACATGTCATGTCTACCCTTATAAGAGTGCAAGCGTTGGTCATGGTCAAAGTACATCACTCCGCACATGTGGTACGTATTGACCTCAAATCGGAGGACTATTACACTACTCTATACGCCGATAATCTCATATACACATGAATAGAACTTATGAAAGGGTTTCTCGAAGGGTATGCGAATATTCTCTAAAATATCTATGTGGTCATCATGAATTACAGGAACTCAAGGTTGTGAGATCAACTACACTTTCTAAAGTATGATGCAGTCCGCATACCAATCTTATCGCATATCATCAATATCCCGTGATCATTGATTGAGGCGATTTTAGGAGTTTATGTTATATCACATAAGCTCCCATTTACTTAGTGACAACATTCTCTCCTCCATACCCCCTTCCGTGAGGTTGGGGGGGAGGTTGAACGGTAGATGCTATTTAGGTTAGTTTACTAGCTTAGATAGTTATTTTTTACACATGTACTTTGTTACTTTTGGATGAATTTTTAATATGTACTTACATTTCATCCACACAAAAAAAACTTGATGACAACATAAGTCCAAGGAAACACAATTATAAATAAAGCATTGACAATCGAAATGCTTAATCATAAATGTGTAATACCGTATATATCTAAAAACATTATAATT